CACAGCTCATAGCAACCTCCAACTCCTGGGCTCAAACGAGTCTCCTGCCTCAGCCTCCCAAGTAGCTGGGAACACAGGTGCCCGCCACAACGCCCAGCTATTTTTTGGTTGCAGCTGTCATTATTGTTTGGCGGGCCTGGGCTGGATTCGAACCCGCCACCTTAGGTTTATGTGGCTGGCGCCTTAGCCACTTGAGCCATAGGCGTCAAGCCTCCATCTCCTTTTTATAAAAGCCATCACAGCTGGGCACAGTGGCTCATGCATTCAAGCTACCTGAGGCCAAGAGTTCAAGACTAGGGCGACAGTTTGAGACTGTCTCAAAAAAAAAAAAAAAATTCAAGACTAAGCAATAGTCCTCCAAGTCTCCTCAAGGTATTCCCTTGGATATACTATTAGGAAATTTATCTCTTCGAACCATTTCCCACCTAGACTATGAGCTCTTCCCTCTTTCCCATGAGGCTGGCAAAGTGCTCCATAAATCAGCATCCAAACTCTCAGTCTGGCATAAAAGTCCATTCCTAATACTATTGATTGGTCACCATGTGCTAACATCTTATAGATATGTTCTCATCTGATCCTTAAAACAAACTTTTCAGATGAGAACTACTACCATTTTATAGATGGCAAAACTGAGGCTCAGAAAGGTAAATGATTCCCAAGATCACATGGCTAATATGCTGAAACTTGGGTCCATCAGTTGCCCTATCAGTGCTCTTGACAATTACACTGTAATTTTAAGTAAATTGTAAATGCCTCCTAGTCTTGCCAGCATCTCATCTGGCAATGAAATAAACTCTCTGCTTGACCACAAAATTTAAAGAACAAAACCTACACTTCATGGGGCTCTAGGGGCACAAAACATCTTCCCTTGCCACCTTACCACAGCCTTTGAGGGAAGGGAGCACTGTCACCTTAACCCCAATCAATCACCAATCACCAATACTTTAGGGAGCCAAAAGTTTGTTGTGGTTGAAGTCAAAGAGTCCGAAGTTGTAATCCCCACTCTACTGTAATTTTATGGCTATAAATACTGGATCAAGTCACTTCACTTGCCTTCAAGTCTTTTTCATCACAAATCAAATGAGAATAACAGTCCCTACCTCAGCATTAACATGGGAGGCATTCCAAGGGGGAAAGTGTTGAAGATGACCTGACACTGGTGCTTTATATAGTGCATAGATGATCTTAAATAATGCTGAACACCTTAGGAGAAAGTTAATCCCTTTTCAATCCTCTTTAAAAACTCCTGATTGCTTCAAGGAGAACATCTCAGTTCCCTAGTTTGTCTTTAACATCTATGAATGCCAATGTTCCTTTACAACAAAAGAACTCTGTCTCAGAGCCTTAGATGACTAATCTAGATACTTTGTTAATAATCTGTTTTCATATTAACTATGTTAACTTCTATCTTCATTATATTAAATATACTAATTGTTATCATTTCCTTCTGCATTTTTCTATTTATGGTGGAGAAACTTAAAAAGTTTTCTTTCAAATTAAATTAAGTTTATAAGTGACAGGATTAAAAATCTTTAGTGAGGGCAGTGCCTGTGGCTCAGTGTGTAGGGCGCCGGCCCCATATACCGAGGGTGGAGGGTTCAAACCCGGCCCCGGCCAAACTGCAACAAAAATATAGCCCGCGTTGTGGCAGGCGCCTGTGGTCCCAGCTACTTGGGAGGTGGAGGCAGGAGACTCGCTTGAGCCCAGGAGTTGGAGGTTTCTGTGAGCTGTGATGCCACAGCACCCTACCCAGGGCGACAGCTTGAGGCTCTGTCTCAAAAAAAAGAAAAAAAAATCTTTAGTGAACAGCAGTACAAGTGGTGACGCGATTTGGCAAACCCCTTAGAGGTGGAACCCGAAAAGCTTAAGTGTGGGAAATTCTGACTTTAGCAAAACAATAGCGTGCCTACCACACAGAAGCGCACAGTAACTGTAAGCTGTTACCATCACCACCGCGGTCATCAATGGCTACAACACACCATCACCATCATCAAGAGCTACACACGGGGCCTGAAGATGCTGCAGCAAACCTTCCTCAGAGCCGAGCCGAGCGGCCGGGGACCTGAGGGCGGAGAAGCCGCTTCGGACCCCGGACTAGGCACGCACCTTGAGAGCGATTCGGTCGCTGATGACCCAGCCCCAGCGGCCCGCCCTGCGGACCCGGGCACCTCCTCAGCCCACAGCTCCCAGAACCCCTGGCCGGCTACAGGCCACTTCCGGCTGCTGAGGCATTGCAGCCCGCGCATCATAGAGAAGCGGGAGAAAGGAAGGAGCGGCCGGCCGGAAGCAAAGCGCGGAGGCCGGAAGTGACTGCTGAGCCCTGCGCCCCCACCCCACCCCGCCGCGGCTGCTGTCGCGAGAATTGCGCTCGGTAACTGTGGCTCCGAGGACCGCGAGTCCCAACCAATACGAGCCTGTACTCTGCCTTTTAAAATCAGGAAACTGAAGCTGTGAGGGCGAAGTTTCCTATGTGTCCTTTTTGCTTTACCCAGCGCCGAAATAAAGCAGTACCCAGCAACTAGTTGGCGCTCTGGTAACTAGTTATAGGATGTTTGTGGTATGCCAAAGATAACGCGAGGACAATAGCGCTAAGATTTGGATCCTAGTGGATTTACCTCCATAGCCTGGC